TATTATTCATACTGTTTTCCACACACACATGCTTTTGAATTTTCCTTTTATCTCAGTCATTCTTCATTAATGATGCCCAGTTATGTCTTTCGTTTTTAGCTTAGCTAGTTTTTCCAAGTGCTTCTATGATATTGTTATGCACAGAGTGTTAGCTTCATTTCTTTTACTCTTTCTATCCTTCATCATTTATTAATGATACAGATTGTGTGATGAAGAGTTGTCAACATTATCATTTTTCTATATTTACAGGTATAGTAACTGCATTGAAGTGGATTTGTCATCTAATAGCCTTAAATGATCCTTCTTTTTCGGGCTGCATTTCCCTCCATTATTTACTGCGCCTCCCAATAGCTTATCATCCGCTGCTGTCTACTCTCCTCTGTCCTTAATTTCCTGAGACAGATTTCCACTTAAGAGACTGAGAATCTATTAGATGGAGAGTTTCCACAAACCACAAGAGCACAAGGTCTTCTGCAAAAAGACACATTTACCCACTATGGGTTAAAGAAAGAAAGTAGCATTATATCTTCCAAGCTGATACACCTAGTCACTCTCACTGTGCAAAGGGTGTAATCACATCTAAATTGAGGGAATCTACATTCATAACTCTCATGAATATAAATACAATAGAAGCTCAGTGCCTAAGTTTCTGTGTAGAGAAAGAGAAGTGGTTGTACTCTTAGTCTAGTAAAACATGACCGCCTATATTTGTTGGAATTTTTATAACTATTTAATATTAGTCTGTGAGTTTTTCTAGGGAGGAGCAAAATCAAAGAAGAAAATAGTACTCTATCTCAGCAAAGCACTTTAGCAACGCAGACTACTAGGTACTTAGCTTGGAATTAGCTAAGTAGCTACAATATATTTTCAAATTAGGCACGTATTGGTAGTAGTCAGTTGTAGTTGGTGAGGTTGCTATATATCTTTATCTTTGCTATATTAAGAATACAGGAAAATAAGTCATCATTTCCTTTCATGATAACATTTTGGAACTAACAATACTCACTAGTATTAAAGTATTCTCTAATCAAAACAGTTGCTCTTAAATACATGTTTGTTCAAAGATCACATGACATGTCGAAGATTATGTCCTTATGCACCTTTTCATTTAATCACTTCAAATAATTAATACAAGTGACTTCTCAAAAGAAAATATATATCACCATGTCATATTTAATTTTCACAAATTATTTACCAGTGATAAATAAATTCCATGAGTAAGTTATGTTTCTCTACATCACCAGGTGGCTTTTTATTTAACTTGTCTGAATGGAATTCTACACCTCCAATTTCCTAACATGCCCAGGCTAAGACTTGAGAAATTCTTGATGGAGGGTATGGGGGTGGGTTGGGTAAAAGCACCATGAGGACACAAAAGTGTTGGTAATGTTTGTGGGAATCACTACAGCATCAGCAGCCAACTTGAAGCATTTGGAAGCAAGTAGTTGTTTGATTTCTGAACCCAAGACTTAATAGATAACTAAATTTTAAACTTTTCACTTGTTGTTCATCATTTCCTCACTTCATGTCATTACGTGTTAGGTTCAGAGACTCATTTGCCTGGTATATACTTAGTTACTCAAGCCCATACTTATCATGAGAGATATTTATGCTGCGTCTACACAAAGCACTCATAAATACATGACCTTATATAAACACGTGGTTTCCAAACAAGTGAACTGACAGGGTGATACAGGACTGCCAAAAAATAAATTAATCCAAGAAAATTTTAACTTCTGACATATGACATAACAACAAAAAGATAAATCCTGTTTTTTTCCCTCTACATTGTACCCTTTGATTCTACACCAACTATTCAAGTCAACAGATTTTTCAAAATTTATTACTTGATAAGGTATCTCCAGCTTTTGAAAAGTTTATCTTATGCTATTTTGCTCTTACAGAAGGCCTACGGTAGAACCTGCTTTCACTGACTGAAAGAAATCAGAAGAGGATCTTCACTTTTATGAAAAAAAGGCAAAAAGTGAAAATATGGTTCAGTATTTGTTTTGCAGTGACCTGTACAGGCCTCTATAGGCAGCAGGCACCCCAAAGCAGCCAGAGTGGCCCTGCCAACCTCCTTCCCCAGGAACCACACTCAGCATCTCAGCATCAGGCAGCCATAGCTCTGAACTGTGTCTGTGAGCGTCTGCGCTTTATGTCGATTTATTTTGTGTGTCTGTTGGCAAGATGTATCCTAAGGTATCAGAAAAATCTAAGAGAGGTATTTTTTTTTTGAGAGGGCATCTCTCATATTTATTGATCAAATGGTTGTTAACAACAATAAAATTCTGTATAGGGGAGTCAATGCTCAATGCACAGTCATTAATCCATCTGAAGCCTAATTCTCATCAGTCTCCAATCTTCTGATGCATAACGAACAAGTTCTTACATGGTGAACGAATTCTTACATAGTGAATAAGTTCTTACATGGTGAACAGTACAAGGGCAGTCATCACAGAAACTTTCGGTTTTGATCACGCATTATGAACTATAAACAATCAGGTCAAATATGAATATTCATTTGATTTTTATACTTGATTTATATGTGGATCCCACATTTCTCCCTTTATTATTATTATTATTTTTATTTTTAATAAAATGCTGAAGTGGTAGGTAGATGCAAGATAAAGGTAGAAAACATAGTTTAGTGCTGTAAGAGGGCAAATGTAGATGATCAGATGATCAGGTGTGTGCCTATGGACTAAGTATTAATCCAGGCTAGACAAGGGCAGCAAGACATCCACGGATGCAGAAGATTTCTCTCAAAGCAGGGGGGGTGAGGTTCTGAGCCTCACCTCTGTTGATCCCCAAATTCTCACCTGATGGCCCCCCTGCGACTGTGCCTGTCTTAGGTTGTTCCTCCCTTGAGGAATCTTACCCGTCTCTGGCTAACCAGTCATCTTCCGGGGCCATACAGGGAAATGTAAAGTTGGTAAGTGAGAGAGAAGCCATATTGTTTGCAAAGGTTAGCTTTTTACTTCTTTGCAGATTTATGCCCTGTGGCTTCTATGCCCAGCACTTGTCTCGAGGTATCTTTACCACCTGGAGGAATTATGATACTCGGTAAATTCGATATGAGGCACGAATTCTATTTAAGGGTTGTAATTAGGAAGGAAGAAGAAAAGCTATAGATGTAGCATATGAAGGAAACTTGGGAGGATTGATTATTTCTTTGACATATCTTCTTGTATAGTACCTTAAGTATGTATAGGTTTTAAACTACTAACTAATTTGCACACACATATTAACATAATAGGAATACGGTGACATAAACAAAGCAAATCTATAATTACCAGCCATCTCCAGTGAAGCCAAGAAAACCATTTAGGCACCCTAGGCATTTGTGAAAATTTATCTATGATATGATGGATATTTTCCAACTGTACTTGAACCATCAGACAAATTAAAGCAGCCCATTTCTGGGATCTGTTCACATCCCATATGTTCTTTTAACCATAGATAGTCTATAGTCATGAGATTTTGGGGTGCTACAACTTGCACCCCTCCCAACTCCTGGTTGAGTTCCAACAGTACAGATCCAGTCAAATTCGTTGTCTCACTGTATGCACATGCCAGCCTAGACATCTCCCTCCTCCTTCTTATGGCAAGTCCAGGAGACGGTGGGCTGGATGCAGCCACAACCGCAGCATCGTCCGGATCCCTGTGGAGGCTTTTTGATGATCATCCCCCGGCACGAGTCCTCCAGAGAGTGCTGATGCCGGAAGCTCCTCCTCATATCGTATCTTAGTTCATTTTCTGGGTATCCAAGCTAGGCCTTGATCTTCTGCGTAGAAACAAACAGACCCTTTGCCCACACTTTGACATGCCCTCTATACCACTGTGCAGAACTCATTGGAGGTCAGCACACAGTAACTGCTTTTTTTTTTTTTTTTTAATTAAGAGAAAGGAATATTATCAGAAAAGAGTACCTCCATAGCTGATCATCTGACACCCTTTAAGTGATCAACATTAAGGATATTTAAAGCATGCGTTGATCTTTGATTTACCAATAGTTTTATCCTGTTAAGGAGTAATCCCCCTTTTCTTTCTTTCTTTCTTTTTTTTTTTTAAATTTTTAATCTACACTTACCTGAAGAATACTATGTTTACTATGCTCTCCCCTATATCAGGTCCCCCCTAACAACCACATTACGGTTACTGTCCATCAGCTTAGCAAAATGTGGTAGAGTCACTACTTGTCCTCTCTGTGTTGTGCAGCCCACCCTCCCCTTTCTCCCTCCCCCCCATGCATGCTAATCTTAATACCCCCCTTCTTCTTCCCCCCCCTTATCCCTCCCTGCCCACCCATCCTCCCCAGTTCCTTTCCCTTTGGTACCTGTTAGTCCATTTTTGGGTTCTGTAATTCTGCTGCTGTTTTGTTCCTTCAGTTTTTCCTTTGTTCCTATACTCCTCAGATGAGTGAAATCATTTGGTATTTCTCTTTCTCCGCTTGGCTTATTTCACTGAGCATAATACTCTCCAGCTCCATCCATGTTGCTGCAAATGGTTGGATTTTTCCACTTCTTATGGCTGAGTAGTATTCCATTGTGTATATGTACCACATCTTCTTTATCCATTCATCTACTGATGGACACTTAGGGTGCTTCCATTTCTTGGCTATTATAAATAGTGCTGCGATAAACATAGGGGTGCATCTGTCTTTTTCAAACTGGGCTGCTGCATTCTTAGGGTAAATTCCTAGAAGTGGGATTCCTGGGTAAAATGTATTTCTATTTTGAGCTTTTTTGAGGAACCTCCATACTGCTTTCCACAATGGTTGAACTAATTTACATTCCCACTAGCAGTGTAGGAGGGTTCCCCTTTCTCCACAACCTCCCCAACATTTGTTGTTGTTTTGGAGTCAGGATTTTAACCTAAGCAGTTGGGTGCTTTGTGATACACTTAACAACTCACGGACACTGCCCAGGCCTCTCAGGTCAAGCTTACCTAGGTTTAAGCCTGAATCTGACACTTACTGGTCATAAGGAAACACTTACCTTATCTTTCTTCATTTTCACAACTGTAAAATGAGAAAAATAATACGTATTGTAGTTTGAATGGCAAACGATAGTTTAGGAGATACCAAGAGAAGACTACCTGGTTGGCAACTAAGAACTATTTACTGTGGTGGGTTCATTACCATTCAGGGGCTGTTCCCAGTTTTGCAGGCTCAGATATCCGACCCTGTCAGAGTCCCAGAGCTTATCAAACACAGGGAGACTGTCCCATGAACACAAAACCTATTGTGTTCCAGGTATCATGCTGGGAAGATATTAAATATTACTTGAGCAGAGGTGTGCTTTAATATTAGAGTTACAGACATGCAAAGATTGGTTAGGTAGAGTCAGTTGCAATGGTTCCAGTAAAAGGTAATGAGGAATTGAACTAGGATAGTGATGTAACAAACAGGAAGGATTGGACATAAGTATGTATGATTTTGGAGAAAAAAAAAACAAACTAAGCTTGGTGACTGATTAAGAAAGGAGGAAATCAAGGGTAATTCTGAACTTCTGAGTGTTGATGATGGGAAAGACAGTCAGCTTCTTAAAAGACAGAAAAGCAGTTGGCTCATATTTTAAGCATCTGTTCTGGGATGGTTTGTTACACAGCAATGGGTGACCAGAACAGGCAGCTAGTCAATGCAGTATCTCTTCTGTACCTACCTTTATATCCCTGCTTTATATATATCCCTTAAAGAATTCCTAAACTATAATATAGAAACAACCTTTCCAAAGGACATATGGTCACTTCCCAAGTTAAGATGGTCTGGGAATACAGAGGCTTGCCCTCTGCTCTAAATTCTCTAAATTCCTCCAGGCCTCAGCTACATGAGGGCACAAAGTTTCTATCCTCCCTCCAATTTTTGTAGAAAGGGTCAATATTTACTTTGTCAAGTAATTCTTACAGCAATTAGCTACTGTATGAGTTTTCTATTGGGCTGTAACAAGTTATCACACATTTAGTAGCTTAAAATCACATGAATTTATTACCTTTTACTTTCAGGGGCCAGAAATCCAAAATAGGTCTCCATGGGCTGGACCTAAAGTGTTGGCAGGGCTATCCTACAGCTGGAGGTCTGGGGGCAGTCCATTTCCTTGCCCTCTCCAGCTGTTAGGGGCTGCCAGCATTTCTTGGTTCACAGCCCCCTTCCAGTGATCCCATCACTAGAATCTCTGCCTCCATCTCACATCTCTTTCTCTGACTCTCCTGAAGCCCTCTTCTATCTTTTAAAGACCTTTGTGATTATGTTGGACCCATCTGATAATCAAAAATAATCTCCCTATTTTAAGGTTCTTAATTATATCTGTAAAATCCCTTTTTGCCATGTAAGGTTACATTCATAGGTTCCAGGGGTTAGGAAGCAGTCATCATTGGTGGGGGTCATTATTCTGCCTATTATAGCCCCTATTTCTCCTTTATTATTAAGGTCTCCTTTTCTAATGAATCATTTCATTAGCATACGGGAATGCTCTAACATCGCTCATCGTCAAAAGGAGAAACCCCTCTTAGATGTGTATCTCTTCACAGTTCTCACATAATTCCTGTGCTTGACAGCATAGCAAACTTCTTAACTGAAATGTCTAAGCTCACTACAGCCACCTTTTTAGCTCTATCCCATTTGGCTTAGGTATTAGGTATTTATCACTGTGTAATGATCTACTTTCAAAATTTTGTACCTTAAAATAATACACATGATTTATCTCACTGGGCATGGCTTAGTGGGGTGCCACTGTCTACAATCAAGGTAGAAGTCACTTTGAGAGGCTGCAGTCAATCTGAGACTCTACTGAAGGGTCCACTTCCAAGCTTCAAGTTCTGAGTGGATATGGAAGGGAAAAGAACATCTCCTTGACACTGGGCCTCTTCATTCACTTTGGACTTCCGAGTCCAGAACTGTAAGATAATACATTTGTGTTGTTTTAAGCCACTAAATCGAGGTCATTTGTTCCAGCAGCAATAGGAAACTAACACAAATGCCAAGATCATTCCCACCTCAGGGCCTTTACACACGTTATTCACCAGTTGTTCCTCTACCTAAAGTGCTCATCTCCAAGATATCAGCATCATAGACACCTGCCTCATCATTTGGATCTCTGCTTAATTCAGAAAGGCCTCCCCCAATCACTCAGAGTAGCTTCCTTGTTACTCTATCACATGACCTGTTTTATTTTCATCAGGGCACTTAACACTACTTGGTACTTTTAAAATATCATTATTGGAACACAGAAAGAAAGCTGAACCCTCATCTCTCACTCTTCCCTGTAACTCCAGTACCTAGAATAATGACTAGCTCAAGATGGGAACTCAATAAACATTTGTTGAAATGAGTAACTGAGCATCTGTTCCATGCAAGGCAAGGATAGTACATGGAACTACTAGTTTTTCTAGGGCTGCCATAGCAAAGTACTGCGAACTGGTGGCTTAAAACAGCAGAAATTTATTCTCCTACAGTTCTGAAGGTCAGAATTCTGAAATCAAGGTATCAGCAGGGTTAGTCCCTTCTGGAGACTCTGAGGAAAAATCTGTTCCACGCCCTCTCTCCCTGCTTAACGGTGGTTGTTGCCAACGTGGAATCCTGGGCGTTACTCATCTTGCAGACACATCACTCCAATCTCTGCTTCCACCTTCACAAGACGTTCTCCCCTTTGTGTCTCTTTCGTGTACCTTCATGTGACATTCTTACAAGGACATCAGTCGTTGGATTTAGGGCTCATTTAATCCAGTGTAACCTCATTTAGTGAACATCTCCATGACATGACTTCCAAAAAGATTACATCCTGAGGTTCTGGGTGGACATGAGGATTTGGGGATACTATTCAACACAGTAGTCACATAATTTGGAAAAAGGATAGCAGATGTACATTCTGGATTATCTGGGTGGGCCCTAAATCCAATGACACATGTCTGTATAAGAGACACATGTAAGAGGAGAAAAGAAAGGAGGAAGCAATGTGAAGACAGATGCAGAGACTGGAGTGATGTGGCCATTAGCTAGACAAATGGAGAATACAATGTGAAGACAAGAGGCAGAGACTGGACTGACCGGGCCATGAACAAAAGCCAAGTTACACTGGCAACCAGCAGAAGCTGGAAGAGGCAAGCAAGGAGTCTCTCCCTAGAGCTTCCAGAGGAAGTAGGGTCTTGCTTACACCTTAATTTTGGACTTTGGCTTCCAGAACTATGAGAAAATAAATTTCTATTATTTTAAAACATCCAGTTTTAGGTGATTGTTACAAGAGGCCATGGGAAATTAATATAGGCCTTAATCTAACATAACAGAATTCACACGGCACCCTATTTTTTTGAAGTACCATTAAAAAACAAAACAAAACAAAACACCTTTCCAGTAGATTCTCCTCTAAACAGATCAAAGAGTTCTTAGTAAATAAGAATTTGCAAACAGCTATAAAGTCAAAGTGGCTCAATTTCTGTAAGCCTAATGTTTACTGATTTTTTAATACAAGAGCTTACCTTCAAACACTGAGAAGTATTACTCTTTAACCAAGTAAGAAATTACTCTAAGAAAATAAACTGTGCTGTAAATTATCTTTCATGTATTACCACTTATCTCCTGACTGCCTGAAAATTAACATCAGACTTTATATCACACTTTCTGTGCTTTCTTTTCACTTTTTTGGTTAAGCTGTTTAATTTCATTGGTGTCTTCCTCTTAAGTTCTTTTTACTCTTGAGACCCACTTTTTGCCATTTTGCCTTATGTATAATTAGACGACACTCTGTAACCAATAACTGGTAACACAATCGCATAAATCTGCTTAGTTTTTGGACAGCAAGTCATGTCATCAAGATAAAGCTAACTAAACAGAAGGAATTACAGGATGAGTCTCTTTCACTCTTTGAATAAATTCAGAATTAAAGTCTGTCATCACAATCCGGTCCCTTTCAAACCTTAGATGTCAGTTAGCCACTTAAATTGTAGATACCAAACTACTTCAAAATGTCACGCAATATTTATTTACTAATGTGTGTGCCTAATGGGGAGTTCATGCTTCTGTACGGTCAGTGGGTCAGAAGTCCATTCATAATACTCACTGGTTGTCAGAAAACACTTCCAGGTTAGAAACCCGGGAACGCAGAGAATCAAGCTGGCGGGCAATGGAAAGCAGGAGCCCCTCTACCACTTTTGCCTTTGGGTCCCCAATCCCCTTCCCAGTTGTCCTGCTGCACTCGCGCACCCTCCCGATTTGCCAGCTCAGACCTGCACCACCACCACCCCCGCCCCCGCCCCAGTCCGCGCAACCTTCAGCTTCTTTGGGAGGGAACTTGAGCACTCACCCACCACCCGCAAAGGAAGACCTGGTCCCCACCTCCCAATAGGGTTTGAATCCTCGCAGAATTCCGCAATCCCGGGGTCCAGTGCAGCCGAGGGGAATCAGGGCCCAGCGCTCAGCCGCAGGCGACCGACCTGGCGGGTCCTGCCGGCTTCCCCGGGCTGCAGCTGACGCGGGAAGGCAGGGTTCCTGAGGATTTGGGCGCCGGCTCGGCACCGTGTTTAACCCATCCCACGGATAATCCTCTCCCAACGAAGGAGCCACTTTCCCGCACCGACCTCGGAGCGCTTGCAACTCCCGGGACTCCGGCTGCGAATCTGGAGCAAGACCGCGGCACCCCCTTTCCCCGGCGCACGCGTCAACGCCGGCGTCGGAGAAGCGTCGTAATGCCTTGAAGAAGCGCGCCACAAAAACCCCCAGCCCGGGCCGAAGCGGCTGACGGAGAAATCCCTGCCCCAAGCTCACACTAGACCTTCCTGCAGGCTTAAGGTGAAACAAAAGAGGGTTTCTCCGTGGATATGCCCAAGGGGAGCTGGCGGCTGTGCCTAAAGGTTTTTGGGGCGGGACCCTTGGTAAGGCCAGGTGATCATGGCACCTCACACCGCTCTCCGCTCCAGTCACTCCTAAGGTTCCGCAGGTCCTGGCGGTGGCGTCTGTCAGCCCCACGCGATCTCTCTGCGCTGGCAGACCTGGCCCACGTGTTCCACCTCAGAGCAGCTGCGCTCGGAAGCCTCAGCCACTGCCTCGCTGGTGTCTGCGCGTCTATTATGAGGCCCGTGGTAGTGATGGCGGCGCTCAGTGAGCCTTTCCTGTCACTGGATACTACTACTCCCAGCCCGCCTCAAAGCCAGCCGAGCAACCCCCTGGTCTTCAGTTTACAAGTGGCAAATTGACTTGCTCTGCTGCATGTCCGGAGGGACTGTGGAAAGCGTGGAGACGCCCCGGGGATTAAGCGATAGCAGCTTAAAAAGAAAAAAAGCCAAACAAATAAACAAAACCCACCCACCCTAACAAACATGAGGCTGCTGGAGAGAATGAGGAAAGAATGGTTCATGATTGGAATAGTGCTGGCGATCGCCGGAGCTAAACTGGAGCCGTCCGTAGGGGTGAACGGGGGTAAGTGCCGCACCTCTGCACGCTGCACCACTTCAGAACTAATCTGAGAGTCGTGGAAAGGAGGGGAGACCGTAACTGGGAAGTATCTGCCTCTCTCAAGGGCACCGACCAGCCCAGGGTGTCCTTTGGCCCTTTTACTGATTTTTTAATTTGCCAGCCCCTGAGAAGATTTGTAATTAGGAATGGGACAAAGGCATCTGAACGCAGGTTACCTTGCGCGAACAATCATTAAGTATCCTTAGTGTTCAGGAGTGAGGTTACTGAGAACGAAACTCACTCTTCTTGCCTCCAAAGTAGCATCCTATCCCAAGGGACGCTAGGTTGCCAGGAGTTCCTTATCTGTGTGGACACCATTACCTTGCCTGTTGCCGCCCCACCCTCCCATTAGAAGGTGGGGGAAGAAAAGGAAAAAGGGACACCCGTTCCTTCTCCAGCTCAGACTTTGTGGCCCACATGTTGGAGAGGGATTATTTGCTGCAGTTGCTGTTGCTTCAGAAACTCCCAAACCAGAAATTCCCAAGCCGACTGACACGTTGCACTTTTTCATTACAGGGCACTACTTCCGTGTGCTGCCGGGACTCAGCTGCTACACTAGCAGGCTAATAGATACGGGCAGTGTTAGACGATGCGTAATGTGTATTTTGGCTAGGAAGTGGAGGCGGGCTAAAATTATGCTCAAACCTTGGAATACCGAGAGCCCTGTGATGTGGAGGTGCTTTCCTGAAAATGACTGGAAATGTCATGAGTTTTTATGTCTCCCCTCTTTCCACCCTTAGACAATCATATCCCACTTTTCATAAATATTAATTGCATTTCTACAGTTCACTGTTTTTTTTAACCTTTTTTGTCAGTTTCCAAGCTATTGACAAGTTTAATACATCAGTGATACAACAGGGACAAATAAGGACAGAAGTGAGCACACACAATCTTTCTATGTTAGGAAGTACTCAGGGGGATATTTGAAGTTATTTGTACCTTTTTGATAAAACACGGTGGAAGTGAATGAAATGATCTCTCAGAAGAACAGTGGTTCCTTTACCTTCTACCTTCAATTCCTCCATTCAGAAGTAGCTTTAGGGAATATTTTTAAAGGTATTATTTGAACAAAGATTGCCAGGATTAAAACTTTTTTAATGTTCTTTTTTTCCATATTCAATTTAATACGACGTGTAGAATATGTGACTTTAAGAATAACGCTGTTATTTCTTATGGTTTCTTCTTCTGAAGACACCAGTTTCTTCTTTGACAGAGCTTCTCTGTGAGCTTTTGGAAAACTTGTGAATGCTGGTATTTCAGGTTCTGTCAAGTGAGTACCTGCTATTCTTGGAGCTAGCTGTCCAGTCAGAAATCAAGTTAGAGAGTGCCTTTGTGGTAATCTGGAACACACATTTAACTAGCTTCACTAGCACACTTTATAGCTCCTGGTGTTAGATTTCTTACTTGCTCAGTGTGAAGGTGAAATTGTAAGTTAATCTGCAGGGGCTAGGTTTGGTAAAATACCTTTTATCTTATATTCCCAGGATGCTCTGTGGCAAGAGGGGTTGTTGAATGCTGAATCATTTCTCTACAGCTTCTCCTGCAGTGGCAGGTGTGAGATAGATTATATACTCTTAATTTGTTCCCTTGGATTCTGCTTCTTGAAGTTGTGGTATATTATGTCTTAGAAATATTGTTTCCAATTTTCACTAGTCCTTATGCCTTTAATCTAGTATAATACATTTTTTAAATGATAAAAGAGTAGAATGTTAAGAGCTGAAAAGAACCATTATAGTATTTTAAGTCAAAATGCTGCTTTTATGGTTGAAGATCCACTATACTGAGACCTGAGGCCAGGTGACTCCCTTTAGGTTAGGTTAGCCTGCCTAGGAAAGAGGAAGCACTGGAGACCAGGACTCTCCCTTATTTCATACCAGTTTCAAAATCCATACAAATTTTTTTTTTGGCAAAAAATCATGAAAATTGAATAAATATTACAAAAAAGGATTCTAAGTAATATGCATGTTTTCATACCCTGGTTTTTAGCTGGAAGGAGCAGAGCAGAATCAGCTAATTTTAGACAACAATGTACTAGTTTGAGTTCTTTGATAGCTGTCCACGAGTAGAAGTTATTTTTTCTAAAAACAAAGGTTAAATAATTGTTTGGGATTTCCTATATAGGGCATCAGGCAAGTTCTTGATACCTCTGTTGAGCTTTAATTGACCTTCCCACCTGTAAAGCAGCTTAAGTAAAAACAAATCTCCAAATACTACTTAAATAACACTAGTTGAAACAAAAATCTAGGAACAAGGAGAGAAATGGTTGCTGAAAATGTTTTTGTTTTATCTAGCTCTTTAGAAAGGTGTGAAGCACCTAAAACTTTTAGTCAAAGTTTCGCTTATTGCCTCTGTGCACAGGGAATGTGATGATGTATTCACACTGACTGAACAATGTTCAAAAGAACAGTTTTCTAGACAGTTTTCAACTTGGTCAGCCTTCAGCTTATTCAGATGCTTACTACACTTTTACATGGATTGGTGCCTTAAAGACTACACTCTTATGTTTAAGTGTAAGACTACTACCTTAAAGTATCACACCTATGATTCGACCTCCTTTTAAAAACAATCTTTATAGTCAATTGGTAAGTTATGTGTGGCAGGAAATTTATAGATGTGGGAACCCTCAAATTAGAAAAGTTAAATGACATTCCAAACGGGAAATAGTATAACATGTACTAGCATAGAAAATTTTATTCTTGTTTCCCTGTTCTTTTTACTCAGTTATGTTTCATTTTTAAGTATATAGGAGAAGGTTAAAAAGAAAGAGCCCACAGTAGATATAAATGAGTAGATTCTGAGGTGTCAGTCATTTGTTCTGTTGCCACCTGGGGAAGCCCTGAGCTGTGCACACCTTCGAGTTTACCTGGGTTCAACACTGTGTTATTCATTCTCGGAAAGACAAAGGTTTACTTCTTTGGAAGCACAGAGCAAATTTCTCATTTCTACCCATATTTGAACTTAAATTATTGCCATTAATAAGACCTAAGTCCTAAAAAGGAAACTGCTTTGTTTTTCCATTAAGAAAACATAACCAGACACATGCTATAAGTTTAAGTGTATCAGCATGAATATCTTAGATTAGGTTTAGAAGTGGAATTTACTTAGTGATGAGTATTTTATGAAATGGTAGTAGTTCCTTGCATTCTTAAGCATTCCAGATCATTTATGTCTCCCCTCCTCTCCCTTCCCCATTCCCCCAATTAAAAAGCATTGTATATGCAGCCCAAAAATTACTGTAGATTTTATGGCCAGTTTTTCTTTTGATTTTGCTAGCCCATTCCATTTCACTGGTAAGCATTTTTTGCTTTTGTTTAAAGGAAAGTTAAATCTTCTATTTCTACTTTGAGCTTTATAACCATTTTAAGATCTGAATCTGGTAATTCTGGTGACATGGAGGATGTAATCATTACTTTGGAGAGGAGCCAAGTATCATTTTTATATCCTAGTTTCAACTCTTACCTCCATGCAAATATTTACCAAGTTTTTATTTCAGCCCTGTGTGACTTCTAGTTCCGCATTCCCAATGTGGGCGATGTATTAACATCTTAGTTGATCATTTCTCAGAGGGGCCTTTGGTTTCCCCAACTCAGAATTCCTCCTTCCCTTTTTAAAAGGTGTATTATAGATAGCCCTGGAAAATCCTCATCATGTCCTTTCACAGATTAGAGTTATTTGGATATGTACCTAACACAAAAGACAGAATACCCTGTCTCTAGGATTTCCAATATTAAAACTTAGGAATCATTTTATGAAGTATCCCAATTAGTTAATAGTTATCATGTGAACTGATGTATGTATGTATGGAGTGTGGGAAGAGTTAGTGTCTTAAAATAAATATTTGTTGGCCAGCTAGGTAGATGCTTTAGCTGCCCCAAAGAAACATGCACTCTCAGGAAATACCATGTGCCTGTTACAGAGATGCTCCTTTGGACATGTCCCCGAGTTCTCATTTGTGACCACACTGCTAACTCTAACTCATCCTGTATGGAAATTCTAGGAGACCATTGTGGGCAGGAGCACAGTTGACAAGAATAAGGTCTCCTAACAAGCAGGAGATTGGAGGAGAGTAAAAATGATCTGAGTTAAGAAAACAAAACAAACAAACAAGGTGTTTAAAATTCCTGGAAGGTGTTTACTTGCAAAACAAGCCAATTCTTTGATTTAAAATCTGCACATGAATCACCTTCTTCAATTATTGAGGCAAAATTATTTCTAAGTGTGAGCTGCTGAGACAGATTTACTCAGGGGTATAAAAAAAAGTACCTCTTTTTACATTTTGTAACAGCTTTTAGTGCCCTAAAGTATAATGTCTTGTACACTTGCCTTCTCCCCTTTGTTCTCTTTTTTCGGATCCCAGCAAAAGAGTTGTGTAAATGCTAGGTATATGAAAGACGTTATTGCAATCTTTGAGGAGATCTTTGTGTCTTGTCTTCACTTATGTACCCCAAATGCCTAAAATATAGTAATTGCTCAATTACTATTTTTTACTGAATGGTGTGATTTTTCCTGACTTTGGTCTTAGTGATTCAGCATTATCTATAGGTGCGGTGGTGGGTTGCAGGGACTGGAGGAGGTGTGCCTGTGGTCTGTTATTTTTCTTAAGGGAATTTATTAGTTTTCCAGGGCTGCCACAACAAATTACCATGCACTGGATGGCTTAAAACCACAGAAATCTATTTTTCAGAAATTATTCTAGAGGCTAGCTTTCTGAAGTCAAGATGTTGGCTGGGCCATACTCCCGCAGGAGGCTGTCGGGAAGAATCCTTTCTTGTCCTAGCTTGGGGTGGTTGCCAGCTATCCTTGGTCCTTGGCTTGTGGTACTATATCTCCAGTGTTTGCCTCTGTCTTCATATGGCCATCTTCTCTCTGTGTGCAACTGTGTCCAAATTCCCTCTGCTTAATAGAATACCAGTCATTGGCTTAGGGTCTACCCTAATCCAATAAGATCTCATCTTAATTTGATTACATCTGCAAAGTTCCAATTTCCAAATAAGGTCACATTTGGAGGTTCTGAGTGGATATGAATTTGGGGCAGGGGGACACTATTCAACTCAGCACAAGAGGGCTGAACAGAATGTCAAATATGAGATGATCTCAGATTTTTAAATGTTGGTATATGCCAGGAATTCTGAACCTTGGCACTATGGACATTTTTGACCTGCTAATTCTTTCTTGTTGGAAAGGCTATCCTGTGCCTTCCAGGATGTTTAGCAGAATCCCTGATTTCTGTGTAGTAGATGCCAGTTATAACAGGCAGAAAAGTTTCCAAACTTTTTTCAAGAAGTTGCCAAGTATCCAGGGCGACACGAAATTGCTGCTGCTGGAGAACCACTGGTGTACAGGTAGAAAGTGGCATTTTCTCAGAACTACATCTTTTAAAAGAATATTGTTCTTTGTTTAGCTCATTAGGTCTTTAAGCCACTTGTGTGCATGGTCCGTGCTATAAAAATAAATAAATATTGGGGTTACCCCTAGTGTCCTCACAGTGTTAACACATCTGGGGTGATGTCAGCCTAACTCCAGACAGAATGTTCCAGAAGGCAAGGACCAGGCCTGTGTGGTTCACTACAGGATGCTCAGGGCCCTGGAACACCTTCAGGATACTCACAATCTTAACAACTTATTGTTAAGTATTCTTTTACTCTATGCGTTATCTTATTCACACAGTCAGTGCCTAGTAAGTATTTGTAGAATGAATACTCTTGGGCAGAACTGAATATGTGCATGAATACAAGTTTTTATTTCTGGATCCTAGAAGGAATAAAATGATATTTGCTAAGGAGAAGAGACCTCCTACCATTGATTTTCTTCTTTTGACTTGGGCAATTTTGATTGCTATCTAAGCACTGATATGGTGGCAGATACAATTCAGACTTGATCTTGAAGGATGGTGCCTGTCTGCTCTCCTGTGTGAGAGCAGAGTTTGATTTTATTATTCTGGTGTGTGAATACTGTGCTGAACTAGACAGTCACGATCCTTGCCCTCTGGAATACCCTCTCTGGAGTTAGCTGCATCACAGCAAATGCTTAACTCTGTCAGGACGGTAGTATATAATAGGGGCAATACTAAGATTTAAAGTACTATTTGTCCTCCTCCAATGGATTCTTCTTTAATACCAAGTTATCTGCTGGACATTCTTATCTAACAGAAACTCATTTCTCTCTCTTTAGGACCACTGAAGCCAGAAATAACCGTCTCCTACATTGCTGTTGCAACAATATTCTTTAATAGTGGACTATCATTAAAAACAGAGGTACTGTCACCTATGGGGCATGTGAAAAGCAGGGAGAAAAACTTAATTTGTACTTACTATTTTGAAGTTTTAGAATCCTTTGGTAAAACTTTGTGTAGCTATCATCTGAAGGCTTCACTGTAACTTGGACATCTGTAAAGGACTTTTGTTTTAATACCTACATATTATAGAAACTGTATAGTCCAACAGCATGGACCCTGAGGGTATGGTTTTAATGCATATGATTTACAGCAACTGAACTGAAGCATCTACTCCAGTCTTCCTGAGATTATGGTGGTAACTATGGTGGTTACAGGCTGTGGCACATTTGAGTTGCTAATGTTGAGTTGTGGATCATCTTTTGTTCCAAAACTTTTGTGTATTGTCTTTTGTCCAGGCCTCAGGCTGCTCAAGTGATGCTTGTTATATTGTAACTTTGAACTAATCTGTACTTTTTAGAAAAAGTATATTCTTTGCTAGGCTATCTAGTAAATATTAATAAATATTTTAAGATGTTATTTACTGATCCAGGTGTCATTGAACATGCATTCTCTTTCAATTAAAGAAATCCAGACATTTTTACATTCCAAGAGAGGAATGAGTAGAATTTATGATTCTCTTTGACTTCTAATGGAAGAAAAAAAAGAGATGAAAATACCTATTTGCTTTTGAAGAAATTATATAGTTTTTAAAGTTGGCATTCTAAGGTGCTTACTCTTCTGTAGATAGGGAAATCTTAGTATGTAGGAATATTTTTGTGGGGATGGGGATTGGCCTTAAAAGTTAAAATTCTCCTTCAGAATCCTGTCTTGCCTTTACTTATTTAAGTTTATTTTCTTTTATTTTAATTATGATTTGAATGAAGACCCAATTTAGTCACCTCTCCTTCTTTGACCATCCTACTACAGCAACATGGAGCAAATATGGTTTTGCTTAGTTTGTTCTGTAGTTGTCAGGTTGGTATAGATCTTTCCTTTGGAGCATTTGTGATACAAGTGGGATTCCCTGTGCTGTGTCTCAAGAATCCTAAATATTCTCACTGATTGCCTGCTCTTCTGGAAATAACTGACCTGAGATGGGATTTCCTAGACATGTTAAATTCTAATTTTGGTAAATTATATTGATAGGAAAGGACTATGATTAGTGCTTAGAGGGCACAGCTTTTTCAGTCAACACCGGGGTTCTAATATTGATTCACCAGTGGGGGGCCCAGTGACACAGAAAACTTGCCACTCCTGTGGTGCTGGACTGATCTTGGAGGTCTTCCTGCTGGCCTTGGCTAATGCCCTTTGTGGAGCAGTTGACTTACCCAAGTCCTCTACTTGAGACATTGCTCTATGTCCCCTGGTGGCTGCTTAAAGGCTACAGCTATTACACCATGGTAAATCTGGCGAGAGACTTGATTCTCTCACTCTTCAGCTTCTTGCTTAATGCTCTTCTGTAAAGCAGCCAGCTTTGTGGGCTGCAGGAGTTGAAGAAGAATGTCACAGCTATCAGCATTTCTCTAAGAACCAAAATTCTTCTGCAGGCACCTAAGAAACCTTTAGAGTCATCCAGCTAATTTGGATCTAATGATGAAATGACTTGATTCTGTGCTTTATCATGGTATCTAAGGAGCCATCAAAGCCATTTCCTCCATCCAAGGCCCTTTTCAAACTAATACAGCATTAAATCATTTTCAAGATCTATTAACTTAAAATGCCCAAGGTTGCATCATTGTGTAATGTTAAGCCATCTCTAAGCTCTGCTAATTTCCTGGGCAACTGAACAGTTTTAAGTTAGGAGGTAGCGGCCTTGTTGTTATTTGTTTTCTAGTTAATAATCTTAAATTAATTTCAGCTGGGAATACTATTTTTGTGTCTTATTAGATCTTAGAATAGTGCATTTTTGCCCACAGGAGACAGTAAGTTATTACTGACTTGAATTTATTATAACTCAGTGTTAATACTTCATGCTAAGAAGACTTAATACTAAGTCTTCAGTTTTATGGCTTCTGATTTTCTAGTTTTTGAAATACCTATTGAAATGGTTTCTGAAATCTTGTTGTATTGAAGTGAAATAAGGTCACACTTGAAATATGTTTTCTATTTAGTTAATTCAAATGTACAGTTTCAGAGGATTTGCCACTTAACGGACTGTGGCAAGACCAATCTCATATAAACAAATACTACCAAGTGCCTATGGCTGCAAAGGCACTGTATTTGGTGCTAAAATAGAAAGAATGAGCAAGAGCTCAGGGTCTACAAAGGGTTCTGGTTAAGGCAGAATATAGAGGCTTTTCCTTATTTTCCTAAACAGATCATTTTTTGAAATTCCATTAGCTTATAAGTAAATACAGCAAATTTTAAACCATATAGGCTCATGTTCCTTGTTTCCAGCCCAGAGCTATGAGACTGACTCATAGAAAGTGAATCAAATAAAGGTCAGATAAGGGTTAGAAGGGAAATTGGTGTGTAATGAAAATATTTCTATGTCCCCCTCAGAGCACCTGACTTTAAGCAGCTCTTGATGCTATCAGTGATAACTCTGGTATAATCAGTATGTGGAGGACCTCCTTAAATTTATTTTGATGGCATTTGACCTGTATCACATGTGAATAAACAAAATGTCATGCAGAATCAACTTCTCAATTATTCATGATGGCATCTGTTTGGATATGTGACCCTAAATTCTACATTAATATATGTGGAGTATTTTGGAATTAAGTATTTAGTTGCTTTTTCTTTTCCAATGTTACTTTAATTTATCTTCAGTGTGCAAAGAAGATTGGCAAATATATAACACTGGGCTTTTTCTTGATAGTCTTGAAAATCTTCCTTAGAAACACTTCATTCTTGTTATTTCCATGTTGTAAAGAGGCCCCTCAGGGCCCAATATGGTAGGCCTTTGTGATTCACTTGGCTGGGTTCTTTACTGTTCCTTATTCTGATACAATGTCAATTGTTTCTAATCATTTATTAGGTGAGCTAGTATTTTTAAACTACATTTTATTCTTCTAACTTTATCTGATTATGAAAGTGATATTTGCCCATTATAGAAAGATTAGAAAGAATAAAGATAACTAGTATTAACATCTCTGTGTTTTTGAGCCCTTTTTTTTCTAAAAACTGTTTTGTATATAGAATATTTAAAAAATAAAATGTTTAAAAAATTGTATATATAATTATATATATACTTGCATATGTATTCACATGCAAGCTTATTTTTCCATGACATGTATAATAATAATTTTTCATGTAATTTAATATTTTTATTTACTTTTTCCTTATTTACGTATGTGTAATTTACATTTTATTTACTTTTATGAACATAAGTCAAAAGGCACAACAGCGTATATGATGAGAAGTCTTCCTTTCTCTCCTCTGTCAGACATTTAGTTCTTTTTTCTGGAGACAATCAATGTTAATAATTTCTGTGTACCTTTCTGGAGATATTCTATGCAAAACATATATGTGTATTTCCCTCTTAAATTGTGGTATTTTATACTGCTTGCCATCCTGCCTTAAATGACTCAAAAACGTATCTTGGAGATTGTTTCATATCAACACACAAAGAACCCCCCTATTTCTTTTTGTATGCTGAAAATGATTCCATTTTATGAATGCTTCATGATATATTTTACTAGCCCCCTCTTGATGAACATCTAGGTAATTTACAAGGCTTTGCTATTTAAAAATGCTGCAAAGGATAACCTAAAAACACATCATTTCCCACATTTGGGAGATAACATGAAGGACTAATTCCTAGAAGTGGAATTGCTAAGGCAAATGGTATGTGCAGTTGAAGGTGTGATAGATGTTCCGAGTACCTAGAATGGTGCCCTGTTCTCAGTGTTTGTTGATTGAAGGAATGAGTTGCCAGATTGCTGTCCATTGGTTGGCCAATTTACACTCCTGTTATTTCAGAGGGGAAGATATTCCCACATCTTTGTCAACATGGTGTTAACGTGGTTCTTAATAGATTATACTGTGATTATACTTTAAGTTATTTAATTATTCCCCCATTTTAGGACTGAAATTGTTTCCAGATTTTATGGTAACAGATGATGTTATAATGATCAATTCTGTATGTAAATACTTGTAACCACTTTTATATCCTTAGAAGTGTCTAAACATTAAATTTTGGGGCCCAAGAATGTGAATTGTATTATGGTCTTTGATATATGTTCCCAAATTATTTTTCAGAAAAGTCATTTTTTTTTTTGTATTTCTATCAGAAGTATATGCAGATGCCTTGTTACTGCATTCTGGCTAATCATTTTATTACAGTTGAAAAAGAATCAAATATTTATTTGGTATTTATCAAATGCCTCTGAGTATATTTGAATGAGATTTGGTTTTAGGACTACTGAGAATTCTTGGAACTGCTGGTGCTCAGGTTTTTTCTGGGGTGGAACTTGAAGATTCTAATATGGTGTAAGGATGGCTCCTGTCCTCTGAGGTCTGATCCATGGACCTGACTTCTGGTCTTCCCAGTGGTTCCCATTTGCCCTAAATTAGATGCAGGTTGCCAGAAGTTCCCTAGATGTATTAGAGATGCCTTGTGGTCAAACTGGCACTGCTGTGTGTCTTCATACAGGGAGATACATAATGGGAGCCTACGAGACAGACCCCTGAAAGTGGTGGTCAGTGAATGAGTCTGCATTAACCTGCTGCTTATTAACCTGGTAAACTTTGGCTAGTGTCTCTGAGGCTGAGGATCTCTTGAATGTCTTCCTTGAACTAGAGGGAACATTACTATGTTTATAACCAGCATATCTCAGGCATTTTAAATGTTCTTTAAGAACTGACCCCTTGAATGTTTTAAAGGACCGTACTTTTCCTTCTATTTCTTGAATTTATTTTATTTCAATTGAATAACCACAATGCTCAAAGAAATTCAAATGCACATGCTTGTTAGTCTGTACATATTTGAACCCCAAAGTTTAACTGGTTGTCTTTTTTTAGCTGTGAGACTCGTAACATATGACAGGTTTGTCATGTTTAATGTAAAACTTTTCCCTCCTGGGGCAGCAGAGAGACCCGACGGAAGAAGCAGGCATGAGTTTGGTAGCAGGTCAGAAATGAGTTTGATTCCGAGCTTCACTGTATAGTAGCTCCCAACATCATTTTCCTCCTCAGTAAAACAGGGACAACAGCATTCACCTACTGGCGCTGTTGTGAGATAACATGTATGAAGTGACAAGCTCAGGGCATGGCGTATAGCTTCTCTTCAGTGACTATTAGCAAAGAAATCTAGTAAGCAGATTTTGGGGAAAAGGCTGTTATGAATTGTAGAATATCATTGGGGAAAACATTTTTTAAAGTTATGATTTGTATGTAGATTTAATAACATCTTGCCAAAGTGAGGCCTGTCTAGAGATCATCCATCACATTTAATCAAGACGTGATAGGTCCTGCTAAAGTTTTTAAGCATGATTTGTTTTCTTAAATAGTTAAATGTGTGTTGATGGTGTCAACAATCCCCAAACCTGTACTAAGGTAAAGGTACTCGGCTTAGTCCCAGTCCAGCTTCTTACAAATCTGAGCTGTTGGGGTAGCTTGTGCATTTGAAAGGAATCAGAATATTACAGACATTTTATATAAAAACACTTCTTCATCATCGGGAGTAACTTTTTTTTCTTTAAGTCTCTCTCTCTTGCTTGTAGATAAAAGTTTTAGCTATAAAATAAATCCAAATTAAAAACAAACTCTTAAGATGTTATTTGAGTAGCAGTCTCTCTTCAGAAACAGTTTTCTTACCTCTGCTGTTTTGTGTCCTTTATTTTTGCAGGAGCTGACCAGTGCTCTGGTGCATATAAAACTGCATCTTTTCATTCAGATCTTTACACTTGCATTCTTCCCGGCAACAATATGGCTTTTTCTTCAGCTTTTATCAATCACACCCATCAATGAATGGCTTTTGAAAGGGTATGTTTAAATATTTTGAAGGGTCCACTGTTGATGGGGCATTCTCTAGTGACATTATTGTTTCTGAAGCAACTGTATATGAAAGGGCTTATGTGTGGTATCTTATAAGGAAAAAAAACCACTTTTAATATTATTATTACCCTTTAAAATGATAATGTTTCATTGAAGGAGGTTCACCAAATGATTTTTAACAGAATCTTAAAATATATCATCATGCTTAATCTTAAGGTCCTAGGATGGATGCTCTTTTGAGAATTTTAAAGTGTTGTGTTGGGAGAAAAATGGAAGGAAGCTAGAGGCTGCAAGATATGTATGCATATGTGTGCCGAATGTGGGGTGTCAATGGGGTGCTTTAACTTTTACATTCTGTATCTTACCAAGTGTATACACAGAGTGGATGAGTATAATATGTATTTTTAAAATGTATAGGAAGTTAAAATATATATATATATAAGGGACAGAGATTTGCCTTTTTACTTGTTCTGTTTTGTTTGATATGGTAATGGAATTAACAACTTTTTTTATTAGAGTTTTGTTCCATTAAAAATGTTGCCATGTTTTTTAAAAGAATTGAACGATTTAAAAAAATTATTTCACGTAGTTTAAAACTAACCACCTTTTAGCAGCATGGTGTAATAGCTAAAACACTGATGTTAAAGCTTGAAAATTGCTTTCTGGCCCTGTCCCTGACCTGCTGTGTGACTCTGAGGCAAGTCATTCAGTAGTTTTGAACCTCAATATCCCTGCCTATATAATGAGGATAATCATGTCTTTACTGTCTGTTTAATAACAATGTTGAGGATACCAATTCAGATCACTTATTCTTTTTTTCAAGTCATTTGTTTAGCTCCTACTATGTACCAAGAGTATTCCTGGTGTTGGAGAAACAGCAGTGAACAAAATTGGCAAAGTGCCAGTTAGTTTTGTATGTTGAGAAGACTTGGGGTATGATTGTCAGTAAACAAATAAATAGATGATCAAGATGGAGATAAGTGATGTGAAGTAAAACAGTATGATGTGGTTCAAAGTGGTTGGGTGGGGAGGGTGATGATTAATTTATATTGCGGGGTTCTGGGAGCAGAATGTACAAAGACTCTAAGGAAGGCACAAGCCTGGGGTGTGCTAAGGTCAGGAAAATGACTGTGATGGTCGCAGCCTGGTGGTATAGAGGAAGAACAATATGACGTGGAGTTGGAAAGGTAGGCAGCAGCCAGGTCCAACAGAGCCTTGCAGTTCTGTGGAAAAGCATTCATATTTTATTCTGAGTGCTACAGGAACCTACTGGAGGGATTTAAATGATGGAGTGATATGATTTATATTTCCAGATGATTCTTCTGTTTACTATGTGAAGAGTGGGTGGTAGAGGGGCTGAGAGAAAGCTAGACCAGCTTGGAGACTAGTGTGGGTTCAATAGAGAGAAATGGGTGTATGCAGGATATATTTTAAAACTAGAGCTCTCAGAACCTATGGGCAGATAGGACGTATGGATAGGATGTAGGAGAAGGACAGGGAGGAATCAAGGATGACTTCTGGATTTTTGAGTATAAGGCGCTAGGTAATTGGTGGCATCATTTACTTAGCTGGGGAGAAACAGATTAGGAGAAGAGGGGAAATCAACATCCCTGTTTTGGCCAGATTATTTTTAGGAGAATGAACACAAAGTTTCATTCTCACCAAAATGTGTGATATGACATATAAATATGATGAAATCATTTTAGAGCAACAGTATATGATGTATATGAAGAGCCAGTAGTTACTGAGTATTTGCCATGTGGTTGGCACCCAAGGAAGACAATAACTCATCGTTCTTGTATTCGGGGAACTTCAGTGCAGTAGGATGTATAGGGCGTAGAATATATAAAGCAGTAACCAACCAAATGGGGCAGTCCAAAAAGTGGCGTAAGGAGTTAAAGGGTAAGAAGTTCAGCAAGTGTAATGTATGCATAAGTAGAGAGGTAGAAAACATGCCAGTAGTGGGAGACAAAGGTAGAAAGTTCCACAAAGGCCAAGATGCAGAATGCCTGAGCTGGTGGGCTGAGGAGTTTGGGTTTGAATCCATAGATGATGGAGAGTTCTTAAATGTGCTAAAGAAGAGAAAAACATGCTAAAAAATGGGTCACTAAGGAAGATTAATCTGATAGCATCATACTGGGCATATTATTAGTAGAGTAGGGCTGGCCATCTTAATAAGCTAAAATACAGTTCTCACCTCAGGATATTAGGCTTAAAGGATTACACACTTAGCCTAAGTGTGAGAAAGCTCTTTGCAGCTCACTTTTTTCTCTCTTCCTCTCCCCAGGTTGAGAGTACACATTTAGTATGTTAACTTGAGGGAGTTGGAGATTCCTACCTTAGGATCATGTTTAAGTTGTTGAAGTAATATATTTTGAGCACATCCGCCCTTGCTTTGTTAAAGAGAAACTGTGGAGGTAGAGAGACCGTTCAGTAGGGTGTTTATAAATACCCAGACTTAGATGAAAAGCATCTGAGGCGGGTGATGGCAGCAGTCATGGAAAAGAATGGAAAGTTGGTTGTGGGGATCAGTTGACTTAGGAGGAAGGAGTAAGTGGAGCTGCATTTAACTCCAAAGTTTCAAACTGGATCATTAGGAAAGAAACAGTCCCATTGACTGTAGATTCAGGTAGATTCAGAGGTGAAACTGATTTTTTAGAAAATACAGAAATTCAACATTAGACATATTTAGTTTGAGGTGGCATTCATAGGCAGCTACAAATTTGGGTATGGTGGTTAGGGCTAGAAATGTAAATATGTAAATATTCCTATAGATTAAGATTTGGAAATTAGATTGAAAAGAAGGCAGGGGAGTCAGCCAAAAACACTGCCCCCAAAATAAAACAATAACAACAAAAACAGAATGGGCTGGTTTAAAGTTAGGAGAAGCACCATGATAACTAAAGAATAGAGCGCCTTGAGAAGTGAGAAGGTGGGTTAGAGAATGAATATGGGGAAAAGGATGTTGGACTTGGTGGTTAGGAGATCCCTGGTTACTTTGAAGGTTATACTTTCACTAGCAGAGGGGTCATTCTGCTCCTCAGATTGCACGGTAGTGAAGAGAACGAGCTGTGGGTCGTGGGGGTGGGACACTCTTTAAAGGTCAGCGGTGAGCCACAGTGAAAAACACGGGAGTCCGTCTTGAGGAGGCATCAGTACTAATTTTGCCGTCAGTGATCTATATTTGTTATTGAATATTCTTGGTGGCAGGAATAATGTCAATGTTTTTTTTAAAAAAATATACTTTTGTGTAGTAGCCTACCTATAGAGAGCAGATGTATTCAATATATAGTTTAGGGACTTTTTCTTTTTTTTTTTTAAGATAGAGACAACTCTGCTTCTTTGTACATAGAAGGGAAAGGGCCAGATGAGAGGGGAAGATGGAAAATACCTGAGAGGCCCTGACCCTGGCATTGGTGGTAGGAAGGCAGAAGGCACAGGGGCTGGGCAAGCAGGCTTGGCTAAGTCTCTGTCCCTGGATTCCAGAATACAATTTTGATCTTTGGTAGGCAGCTTTGTGAGTTTGGGCAAGATGCCTAACTTCTTTCTTCCGTTTTCAGTTAAATGTTAATAATAATAGTATATACCTTAAATTCTTAGGAGAAAAATGAGTAGAGTGTCTAGAACAGCATCTACCGTGAATGTAAATGCTCAGTAATTACTAGTTGATAATGGTTGTCATGAGGAAGGCCCAGAGGTTGGGGATACATAATAGGACAAATTACTTCAGCTTCACTTAGGAAAATAGACCTGAAAACCATTTTGAATTGAATTGAGTTGTAAATTCTATAAAAATCAGTTTTCTTATGTGTCCGGTCAAAATGAATTAAAAGTTTTCCTTTTTTTCTTATTTCAGAGGTAATATAAATTCATTGCATAAAGTTTAGACAATACATTCTTACAAAATTGAATAGAAATCATCTGTAATCATACCTTAAAGTATATTTAAGTCAGGTACTCTGTGTCCTGTATTCCCTGTATGAACTTTCTTCTTTAGTTGGCCTGGCTACTCACTACCTCCAGAATGTGTATGAATGATAAGTACTGTTTTTTACCTTTAGTATTTAGATTTACAACTTCTAGTTTCATTTGCTTGTCATGCAGTAAATTTTCTATCCTAAACTAAAAAAATAGTCTTTTTGTCATGATCTGGGGAGTATGTACAAAATTTAATAAAAGCTAAATTTAGAATAGATACCAGAATTTACTAGAGAGTCTGAATCCAAGATGTTTATGATCATATCATGTCTATTCTATAAGGATGTTACAACAACGTGAACATGCTTTTATGAGGTGAAAGTTTGAGAATTGCTGTTTTATGGAGAGGAATCAGAAAATGTAAGCTTATGTTTTGTTAAATATGTTCAAACTTTGGAAGTGGTTTTCAAGTTCTATATTTTGCCAAAAGCTTCCAATAAAAAATGCAAGGAAAAGATACTTGAAAATAACCCAAGATTATATAGTCTTACAAGATAATTAACCATTGTGGTTATCTTTCAATGGCCACATCACTATAACTTGACTGTGTTTTTTGAATTGTATAATAAGAGCTTAAATAACTTAAAAAAATAAAATCGCCCAGACCTGTAGAATGGAATGAGAGCTTCCCCGTACATTTCCAACATCTTCTAAGCCAGGTTGTCTTATGTAGAATTATCCAAACTGAACAGCACATGTGCATCAATAAACATTTTCCTATTTTCATTTACTCAGCTCTGCTATCTTAGAATGAATGCGGTGAAAACTATTTAAAATTGAAAAATACCTATTTACAATCACATTTTCTTTTATTTGTCAGGTTGCAGACAGTAGGTTGCATGCCTCCTCCCGTGTCTTCTGCTGTGATTTTAACCAAGGCAGTTGGTGGAAATGAGGTGAGTCTTTGAGCTAACTTTATGTAAATATAAGTGGATGCTATGGTTTTATTTTATATTTATTTTATTCTTTAATTTAATTTTGTGAAGAAGGGGCCTTGTTCCATAAAACATAAAACCATAGCAGCTTTGAAAGAGGTGGTTGTACTCATAAATTAGGATGATGCTCAAATTCATGATGGTGAGTGGAATTTAGGGCTTTAAAGAGGTGAGCAAGACAAGGGAGGTGAATGAAATAGAGAAGGTGTTTTTTCTACCTCGTTGGAAAATTGGGAGACAGGACAAGGAATCCAAGAAAAGGGAATCTTCATCCAAGACTAACAAGCTGAGGACACCTGTATGGCCATTCCTCAGGTCTTAAAAAATTTGTAATGAACTAAATTCATGGAAAAGGGATCAGTATAAGTTTGATGGCAAATGAAGATTATATAAAAAGGAGAAATGAGGTCAGTTTCTAAGATGTGTTAAAATAAATTATTCAACTGCTAGGGGCTTGTGGTACAAGAATATATTGTATTAGCAACTGTCCATTTCAGGAGCTACCTACAGGTAGTTCCTTTGGGTTAGAGGCACTCAAACTTCCTACTGAGGAGCTTTGCTTTGTAATAGCTTATCGCTTCTTTTCTGCTTACATTCTTTCATTCAAAAAATAATGCTGTTCAATGAGGGGAGGCAAAAGCATTCCCACTTCAATTCATTCTTAGGATTTTGCTTTCTTAACAACTATTTTCATTTCCATCCACTTTATTCATTCTAAAAAATATTTATTGAGTATCTGCTATATTCTTTTTAAAAATGGGTTTATTGAATTATTATTGACATACAATAAACTGCACAAATTAAACAATTTGATGTTTTGACATATGTATACATCTGTGAAACCATCATCACAATTAAGATAGTGAGCATATCTGTCTCCCTTAGAAGTCTCCTTGTGCTGCTTTATAATCCCACCTTCCTGCTGTTCTTAGCATTTCTTCCTGAGGCAACCACTGATCTGTTGCATTTTCTAGAATTTTATATACTTGAATCATAAAGTGTGTACTTTTTTGTTTTTCTTTTCTGAGTTCTTTTACTCAGCATAATTATTTTGAGACTCATCTGTGCTATAGGTGTCAATAATTCATTCCTTTTAATTGCTGAGTAGTAGTATTTTATATGGACATACCACAACTTATCCATTCACTTGTTGATGGACATTTGGGCAGTTTCTAGTTTGGGGCTAAGAATGCTTGTATGTATATCATATACTTTCATTTCTCTTGGGTATAGGAGTAAAATGTCTGTATCATCTGGAGATGTCTATTTTAGCACCTTTCACCCAAGGAAAGAATCACCAATAGTTATAAATCATCTATAAATAACTTTTGCAGTAGACCAGTCCTGTAAAAATACAAACTCTTCTTTTACTGTAGGTATGTGTTTAACTTGTTGTGAAATTGCCAAACTTTTTTCCAAAGTGGTTGTACCTTTTACAATTCAACCAGCAGTGTAAGAGAGTTCTAGTGCTCCATATTTGTGCAACACTTGGTATTGTTAGTCTTTGTAATTTTAGCCATTCTTACATATGTGTAGTAATATCTCCCTATGGTTTTAGTTTAATTTATGTCTTCCAGTGACTAATAATACTGAGCTTTATTATCTTTCATATGCTTATTTGCTATCCATGTCTCCTGGTGAAATATTTATAAAATCTCATGCTTTTTAAAAAAATTGGGTGGTTTGTTTACTTATTAATGAGCTTCGAGAGTTTTATGTATTCTGAACAAGAGTCCTTCATCAGATATGTGCTTTGTAAATATTTTCTCTCAGTCTGTGTCCTATTTGCATTTTTTTACAGTGTCTTTTGAAGAGCAGGATGGTAGAGGAGTCAGTAAAGGTGGTTAGATTCTGGATATGTTTTGAAGGCACAGGATATGCTGCTGAGTTGAATATGAGAGAAAGAGAAGGGTCAAGACTGACTCCAAGGTTTTTGACTGAGCAGCTGAAAGGATGGGGTTGCTTATATGGGGAAGAGTACTGTGAAAGAAGGTTCAAGGGATATTAGTCTGGTGAGGCCATGCTGTGATAACTAAGAGCTACAAAATCTCAGTGGCTAAACTTACAGGTCCATTTCTTGCCCAGGGCATATATTCCATGTGGGTCAGTGGGAAGGTCTGTGCCATCACTACTGACACATGGTTGATGGAAGCATCATGTCTTCAAGTTTACCATTTGGAGGAACCAGCACTTTCATACTGTGAGAATTTTCAATAGGGAAAGAGAGGTTGTAGAATTACAGACTGGCTTTTCACTGTCCAGGCTAGAGGTAAACTTCTGCTCACAAGTCATGTGGCCTTACCCTTTGTTTTTTTCATTCACATGCCCTGAAGGAGAAGAGAACTAGATAGTGATGAAAACTTGTAATGTCAGTGTACTATGGGTAAATATCAAGAGTTTTTTGTGTTTTTTTTTGGTGTGTTAAGAAGCCTAGTACATATCCAGATGGAAATGCCACTAAGCAATTAGAGATACCAAAGGTGAGCATTCCAAGAGTGGTCTAACTGGAGATATGAATTAGGGCATCATCAGTAAATAAATGGTATTTAAAGTAAAGATTGGATGAGATTACTTAGGAAAAGAGCATAGACAGTGTATTGCCAGTGGGTTTCAGCACCAGGAGAGTTCACTATGGACTCAGTGAAACCAGGCAATGACAATGGAATGTACTTGGGGTAAAAGAGTTTATTTCCTGGCTTGTTCTGCCGGTGATAGGTCAGGCACTAGAATCATGTCTGCATCCAACAGTCTGCAGGTTCATAATCCTCCTTCCTCTCTGCATTCACCCAGAGCACTGGGCAAAGCTCTGTGTATAGTGACTCAGTCAGTAATAGTGTATTGCCTATGGGTGTGGAAGCAGTAACTTATCAGTAGGCCAGTTACATCATCAAGTAGTTTAGGGTCAGGTGAGGATCCTGGCCATAGGCACTTCCATTTCTCCTACAGACAGAAAAGAGAACTGGTGAAGGACTGAGCCCTGAGATCTTCCAACATTAAAAAGTTAGAATGATGAGGAGTAACCAGAGGCAATGGAAAAATTAAATAGAAGGAAAAACAAGACAGCATGGTATCTGGAAGCCAGATGAAGAAAGTATTGGAAGGCGGAGGGTATGATTAGCTGCATCAAATTCTGTCCATATAAGTTGTGTGAGCTGAATTATGAGAATTGTCCATTGAATTAAGCTACAGGGAGCTTATCTGTTTTGACAGAGTACAGAGGCAAAAGCTTGTTTGAAGTGGACTCAAGGGATGATAGCAAGAGGAGAATTAGAGACAGGAGGTGTAGGCAACTGTTTTGAGGTCCTTTGTGAAAAAAGGGAATAGGGAAATGGGGGTATTTAGATGGGCATATGGGGGTCAAGATGTTTTAAATGCATAAATGACAGCATGTTTCTATCATGGTGGGATTTGTATAGAAGTAAGGGAGTTGTCAATTTCAGATGAGTGCTGGAGAAATTCATTTGGTCAAGTGGAAGAGAATGGAATCGGTTCATATATGCTTCCAGAAGCTTAAACCCTTTATTCATAGTGCTAGGAGGGAACGCAGAATGTGGATCTATATAGATCCATGTAGATGAGTAGTAGGGGTGCACTTGGGAGTTTTCTGCTGATGACTTTTATTTTCTTAGCTTCTTTTGATGACTTTTATGTTTTCTCAGCAGCTGGGGGTGATGATGGGGTAGGTGGTATTAATGTTTGAGGTGAGTGGAGAAAATGTGCAGATGCCATGTAGACCAGGAGAGTGCCCTAACTGTGGCACGTGATAGCATTGCCAGGAAGCACTTGCACTACAGCTGAGATCCACAGTCACGCTTTTAACGTGAAGCCAGGTATCATAGTTGTTTTCTGAGCCACATGTAGCTTCTTGGTCTAAGAATAGAATTGGCATTTATAAGAATAGTTGGATTTAACCAGCGTTTTATTATGCCAGGTAATTATTTTTCAGTTGCCGCATAATTAGTGAGCTATATAGGAGTTACAGAGATCTTGGACTGCTGTTTGCTATGATTGTCTTTTTATTGCCTTGAAAGAATTTGAGAAGAGTCTTTTCTTGGTGTATCTGACACCACTATTAATTGGCTTAAAGGTATCATTGATCTCTCTTTCTTTCTAATGTGATTCCCTTAAGAGCTAAGACTAAAAAAACTTTTTTGTTCTCAAATGGCATTTAGCAGAAGTTCAAATTTCATTCATTTCCTTGACATTAACATATAGCATTAGAAAGTATATTTACATATTCATTCCCCAATAGATATTTAAATTATTTACCTTAATGTTACCTGTTATGAACATTGATTTTACAGATACCTCCTTTGTTTTTTAATACCATTGGTCTAGTTAAAAGTAGTCTTGTGGACTAAAATACAGTTTTTCATAAATACTGAAAATTGGCTTACAAAGTCTAGTTTGGTCATATCTTCTGAGTGAAATGAATAGACTATTTTATATTTACATCTGATTGTAAAAGAAAATGATCTGTGAGTAAACATACATAATTTTAAGTCTATTTCTCTAAAATAATATATAAGGTATATTTTAAGGTAACTGCATATAGGCCTTTGCTAAACTAAATGAACGAAAGGGACTATTGCTCTTTTGCATAATATATTAGAAAAAAATCTAATCTAAGGATGGAAAGTGAATTTATTGGTGCATGAAAATGAAAAAGTCCGAAAGCTGAGTCTAATGTCAGGTTCCATTAGGTTAAGGCTTTGATTCTACTTCTCAGATTCTGTGCTCTGCCTTGCAGGGAACAGCTTTGTACCCTCGTGGTTCCAACATGGTAGGAAATATGCTGGGGCACATTTCCATGTTGCTCTGTCCCTTCAAACTGACTATTCTTCGCCGTGTTTATGTCATGTGAAAAAATTTCTTCCTTCCTGATTTTGTGTTATTAAACATTTTTACATTTAGTTTATGGCTCTCATGTATTTACCTATAGATCTTTAATATGTATACAC